ATTGACGCTTCATATCATCCGACCTTAGCCGATCGAGAACAAGTTTCAGTGCGATTGGAAACGGCACCTTGATAGCAACAGATCGTTCGCGAGCATCCGATTATTCAACATCAGGCATCAAAAACTACAAAATGTCGCAAAAACGAATCGACACCGACATTCAATACAACGAAATGCGACTCGAGAAATTTTTCATATCGCTTGACCAGCGCACCAGTTTGAGTGCGAGTTTTTTCTTTATGGGGATTTGATGCAGAGAAACAAATATATGCCGACTATGATTTTGACGACCGAATTTCTGAATTTTTCATCTGTTAAAATTCAGATCTCCCTATCAAGTCACGAATTTCAGCAAGAAAACTGCTCGGCAGTCACAATCATCAGCTAAAGTTACCTACTTGGTAACATTGACTAACGGAATTGCTATTGCAGCACGTGGATCGCAATTGTCGTCGAATTGACGACACAAGTAAACCACGAGACTACTCGATGCGAGAACGACGTTTGGGAGTCAGCATCTGTGCCTCGCGACATCAACAATGCAGCCGAACATCTCCAACGACAAAAATGGATTGCATAAAATTATTGTTCTACATTGACAATTGGGTACATAATGGATTGTAGAGAAGTAGCCGTTTTCCCTGAAAATTCCTCGCCAACCAACGTTCATGCAAAGGAGCATATTTTGCATGCAACAAATAACGCACTTATTACTTCGTCGAAAACAATTGTCCGCATATTTTGCATCAATTATGGTTTTTAGGCTTTACGACCACTACACATTAAGCCTTAAGGTTTAATCGTGGTACATAAGGCACATAGTGGAGTTGTTCACGGCACAAAGTTTTATAATAGTATATTGGATCTAATTCATACCCAAAAGGATATACGAAGAGTGCATCCTGACAAATAGTTCCAAGAATAGAGGGCAAACTTAAGAACAACGTTTTTGGTACCTAGCCCACCGACCTTTGGCCTTGATCACCACCCGCACCCTACTAGGCGTGTTGTCGATGGGGTTAGAGCAAACCTCAGTATGGGTCTTCTCCCATTCTCTCTGGACCTGCTCCCAAATCTCCAGCGTTCTAGAGGGAGGCCTTTTATACTTGGCCAGCTCCCTTTTCAGGTAAGCCCAGAGGTTGAGGTTTGATGAGGAAGAAGGCAACTCCAACGCTACATACTCATGCTCTCCAAGTCGTTCATGCACTAGGCATGACAAATGCTTGGGGTCATTGTCCGCACCGGAAAAACCTTAGAGGGGGAAATGTTGTAGAAATCGAGGGTCGATTCGAGTTCATCGTGCAAAATACCCTCATTCAGGGGCCTATCCATGCGCCCCTCAATCTTGCATATGGACTCCACCCTCGCACATGTCAAACATTCCCACACAATCACCGGGCCTTGTCCCCATGGTTTACCGTCTGTTTGATGTGGTGGCGCTGCAGGGTTGTGCCTTCAAGAATCCATGCAAACGGGCGACCATTGGAGCAGAAGCAGTTGATCTTGGTCCCATTTGACCACGTCACATGCTTCTGCACATTAATTGTCCACTCAGCATGCGACTACATGAATTACAGCCGGCCCTGGATAATACTCCAGAAAATTCACGGCTTCTATGACTGGTGCACCGTGACTAGACCTGCGGATCCTAGCGTGATTTTAGTGGTGCAAGGGTGCATAGTTGACCGTGCTACGTCACTCTCCGTTTTGCAGTGTCTATGCTAGTTTTGGCCGCTCTGTTTGTGATTTTACCCTACAATGTTACGACGAAGACAATCTGTGATAAGTCGGAGCCAACTAGCAAATGGCGTCTTTGACCACACATCAGCATGTCTAGTCTATAAGAAACCATTCAATCCAAAAATGTCCACAATACTCTTGCCTACGCCCAACTCCTTTGCGATTTTCCTACTACTCACCCCCTACGCAAAATGGTGGGTCCAGGAAGAGTGCGAGAAGATTCATGCTGAGGTGTGCACTAACCTCGTAGATAACATGCCTAGCAGGGTGCGGGTGGTGGTCAAGGTCAAAGGTCGGTGGGCTAGGTACCAAAAACGTACAGTGACGGAAACAATTGTCCGGATGTTTTGCATTAATTAGGGTTTTTGGGCTTTTTGACCACTGTACATACAGTCTTAATGTTTAATGGTGGTACTCTTTGGGAGGGGCATATAGTGGATGTGCTCACAACACAAAAATCCATGATAGTACACTGGATCTAACTTAGTGCCAAAAGATATACAAAGAGTACATCCAGACAATAATTTCCCAGGACAAAGAGCAACCTTTCGCAGCATTTCTAGTTACTAGTCCACCAATACTTGGCCTTAATCACCACCTGCACCCTCCTAGGCATGTTATCTACGAGGTTAGTGCAAACCTTTACAGGGATCTTCTCATACTCTTCTTGGACCCACGCTTTTGCGTAAGTGGGTGAGCACTAGGAAAATTGCGAAGGATTTGAGCGTATGCAAGAGCATTGTGAACGATTTCTGACTTAATGTTATCTCTGAGACTAGCCATGCTGAGGTGTGGCCAAAGATGCCATAAGTCGATTGACTCCGTCGTATCACGGATCGTCGTCGTCGTACCATTGTAGGGTAAAATTACGAGCAGAGTGGTGAAAACTAGCATATCTGCCGCGAAACTTAGGGTAACATAGGACGGTCGAATGTGCACCCTTACACTATTAGAATGATACTCATACTCTCCAAACCATTCCAAGCCATGTGTCCCGCCTAGGCTTGGAATGGCTCGGAGAGCATGAGTCTATAGCACTCGAGTGACCCTCATCCTCACCAGACCTCAACACGGATATTCTTCCCCACCTGTCGGAGCTTCTTCGACTGCTGCACCGTGATGAGACCCGTAGATTTAAATGTGATGCTATTAGTGAAAGGGTGCACAGTCGACCGTCCTATGTTACCCTAAGTTTTGCGGCAGACACGCTAGTTTTCGTCACTCTGCTCGTAATTTTACCCTACAACGGTACGACGAAGACGACCCATGATAAGATGGGACTAATCGACTTATGACATCTTTGGCCACACCTCAGTGTGGCTAGTCTCAGAGATAACATTCAATATGAAATCGTGCACAATACTATTGCATACGCTCAAATATTTCGCGATTTTCCTAGTGCTCACCCCCTTATGCAAAAGGGTGGGTCCAGGCAGAGTGCGAGAAGATCCCTGTAAAGTTTTGCACTAACCTCGTAGATAACATGCCTAGGAGGGTGCAGGTGGTGATCAAGGCCAAGTGTTGGTGGACTAGGTACTAGAAACGCTGCTCGAAAGTTTGCTCTTTGTCCTGGGAAATAATTGTCTGGATGTACTCTTTGTATATTTTTTGGCACTAAGTTAGATCCAGTGTACTATTATGGAATTTAGCGCTGTGACGATATCCATTATGTGCCCCTCCCAAAGCGTACCACCGTTTAACATTACGAAATTATGTACAGTGGTCCGAAAGCCCAAAACCCCTGATTAGTGCAAAACATCCAGACAATTGTTTCCGTCATAGTAGTTCTAAAGTTTGCCCTCTATGCTTGGAACTATTTGTCCGGATGTACTCTTCGTGTATCCTTTGGGGTATGAGTTAGATCCGATGTACTAATATGAAATTTTGTGCTGTGAACAAATCCACTATGTGCCCCTCCCAAATCGTACCACCATTAAACCTTAAGGTTTAATATGTAGAGGTCGTAAAGAAAAAAAAACCTGATTTATGCAAATCATGCGGACAATTGTTTCAAGTACAGTAAGTCTCACCAGGGACAGCGAGAAACTACTTCGTAATAGGAGCTGGTCGATTCATCTTCACTACGAATCTCAGCCATCCGTAGTGATTGATTGGAGCACCTTAAAATCAACCTGATGAGAAAACATCCCTATCATCTAGCCATGTTTCCATGCATTTACGCCATCCTACAAAGGAACGAGGATTGACATACCGAGGAGTCATGTCCTCGAATCTTGCAATCACTCGCATACCTGCGACCCTACGGTACATGTATTGGAGGCAATTCTTCCAGAAGCCAAAGCATTACAAGCCTCGAAGTAACTTGGGCAGTGCATGAGAACGCCCAGCAACACGATGATGTTGACAAAAGAGGGAGATGCAGATTGCAACACGACAACTACGCGCTCTACCAACCGTGCATCGTTTCTCGGATGAGAATACCACACAGTTGCTAACCATGGATACAGTGAGAGGAGAAGCAAGTTTTCTTCATACCCTCAAGCGACCCAATCACCGGCAGCAATGGAGTGATGCCTGTGCATCAAATCGCATGTTCCTTAGTAATTACAACTATTACACCCATCATGAAGACTCTACATGGAAGAGGGAGTGGATGGATTCTTCTTCAAACCATTACAAGTTAAAATCCATCATCTGTAGCAGTTGGTGCCGCGAGTGTCTACCGCGGCCGCCGCCACCGCAGCAGAAAAGAACATTAACACCCAATCCTGATGGATATTGCACCATCGAAATGATATGACGCCGGATCTTATTCCAACATGATTCCAAGACCTGGTTTGGCTCTACATCTACGATTTCCAGCTAGTAGGATGGAGATACTACTATGCCCTTGACCAACGTGGTTATACCACATGTCCTCAAGAGCTCAGAAAAATGAGACTCTTATGAGAATGGGAGGTGTCACAGGATCGAATGTCTCGAGGAAAGGTTGCACTATCGATCAGTACAAGGCGCTTTTATACTTCCAAAGTACATCAGGTAACCAGGTTTATCTTATCCTAAGGGAATAGACCCTTCTAGAAGGTAGAATCACCCTGCGTATAGCCACGCGAGGCTATTGGCTTTAAGGGATTACGGCAGGATTACGCCAGATAGCGCACCAGTACATCCCAAGCCTGGTCGGTGATATAATTATAATAGCAGGATAAACCAAAGGTTAATGGAAAATGGAGAATAGGAAACCAAATGAGATGAGATAAAAAGAGAAATGAAAGAGGAAGGAAATAAGAAAAGGAACAAATGGTGTAACGGGGTCGTACTCTCACACCTCCCCCCCTCAAAGCTGGGTGGTAGAAGTAACACCCTGCTTGACAAGGTAGTCATGCAGAGGACGACGGGCGTTACCCATGTCGGACTCAGGGACCCAGCTGTCCTTAGAAGGATCATAACCCTTCCAACGGATGAGAAGCTCCACGGCGCCATTCCGACGATGGCGGTGTGCAAGCACGGACTCGAACTCGTACTCGGGTTCATTCTGAACAAGGACGGGAGGCGGCGGCGGTGGTTGGCGTCCGACAAAGATCGTGTTCGGATCCTGATAGGGCATCAAAAGTTGGACATGGAAGGCGTTGTGAATCTTCCAGGTAGCTGGCAGGCGTAAGCGGAAGATAACAGGAGTGACTTGTGCTTCAACGAGGAAAGGCCCGCAGAAGCGAGGTCGTAGTTTAGATGGGAGGTGGCTGATGTCCAGGTTGCGGGTGTCAAGAAGCACCTAGTCTCCCACCGTGATGGTGTGGTCGTTGCGATGGCGATCGGCCTGGCGCTTTTGTTGCTGCTGAATGTCGAGGAGGCACTTGTGGGTCCGATCCCAAAGCTGATGCATGGTTGTGATGAAATCATGTGCAGGTTGGACTGTAGCGGATATGGTCGGTTTCTGTGGTGTGAGTGGGTGGCGTCCGTAGTAGAGGAAGAACGGCGTCTGTCCAGTAGCGGCATGTGTAGCGTTGTTGTAAGCAAACTCTAGAACGGGCAGGTGCAGGTCCCATTTGGAGATCTCGTCCTTGCAGGCTGCTCGGAGGAGTTGCTCAACAATTTGGTTGAGGCGCTCGGTCTGTCCGTCTGTCTGCGGATGGTAGGCGGATGACATGGCAATTTTGGTCCCGAGTAGAGACATAAGTTCCTTCCAGAACTTGTTGGTGAATTTGGGGTCTCGGTCGGAGATGAGTGGTTGGAATGCCATGCTGTGAGATGATGTGACGAACGAAGAGTTGTGCTGTCTCCTCGGTGCGCGCTGTTGTGTGTGTCGGGATGAAGTGTCCCATTTTGGAGAACTTGTCGATGACGAAAAGGATTGCGTCATGACCGCTGGTGGTAGGTGGTAACCCGGTAATGAAGTCCAGGCTAACCACTTGCCATGGCTGTTCTGGGAAAGTCCCGCCTTTTTTTGCTTGCTGCTCTTAATCCGCTGACATGTATCACACGAGGTGACAAACTTCTGAACATCTTCTGCCAAGTGGGGCCAGTAGTAGTGTTTTGCGATACCGGTCAGCGTCTTGTTGCTACCGAAGTGTCCGGCGTATAGGACGTCATGGTATTCTTCAAGTAGTAATTGGCGCAAAGGAGGGTAATAGGGTACCCAGATTTTCGTTGATCCTTTCCGGTACGCGATGTCATTGTCCCACTGTAGCAGATGTCGTTTTTCTGCCAAGGGAATTTTGGGGTCAATGGCGTACCCGTGTGTGAAGAGTCCCTTGAGGAGTGGATTCATCTCTTCGATCTGAATAGCGGCAACGTGCGCAGGCCGGCTGAGGGTGTCTGCATTGTTTTTGTGGCTGGGCTTGTACACGATGTCATAATGGAAGTGTGTCTTGAGGAAGTCGATCCACCGGACCTGTCGCCTGGAAAGGATGGGTTGTGTCTTCAAATATTTCTGGCTGCAGTGGTCAGTGTAGACGGTTGTTCGTTGTCCTTCGAGATAACATCTCCACGCTTTGAAGGCTATGACGATGGCAAGGGCCTCTTTGTCGTGTATCGGGTAGTTTAGTTCTGCCCCGTGTAGTTTCTTACTGAGGTAGGCGATTGGTTGCAGTCCACTTCCTTGGTCTTGCATCAAGACTGCTCCCACTGCCTGGTCACTGGCGTCGGCTTCGATTACGTAGTCGCGTTCGGGATCTTGCAAGACGAGTACCAGTGCGGACGTGAGTGCTTGTTTCAGCTGCTCCACGGCTTCCTGGTGCTGTGGCTCCCATTTGTAGGGCGTGTTCTTCTTCAGCAGATCCGTGAGTGGTGCTGCGAGTTTCGCATACTGTGGCACGAACCTGTTATAGTAATTAGCGAAGCCTAGGAACTGCTGCAACTCCTTCACGTTCTCGGGTGTCTTCCACGTACGTACGGCTTCAACTTTCTTGGGGTCCACGTGAACTCCTTGAGCGCTCACTATGTGTCCTAGGAAGTGGACCTTCTCGAGGGCGAACTCACTCTTGGACATTTTGACGTAGAACTGTTCTCGTCGAAGAATTTCGAAGACGCGTCGCAGGTGTTCGGCGTGTTGCTTCATGTCGCGCGAGTAGATGAGGATGTCGTCCAGGTACATCACCACGCACTCGTCCAAAAGTGGTCGTAGAATGTGGTTCATTTCGGCTTGGAATGTTGCCGGTGCGTTGGTGAGTCCGAACGGCATTACCAAATAATCGTACGATCCATACCGAGTTCGGAAAGCAATTTTGTGGATAGAGTTGTCCGCCATCCGTATCTGCCAGTATCCGGACCGCAGATCCAGTTTGGAAAATACCGTAGCTCCCCGAAGCTGGTCAAGCAGGTCATCGATTCGTGGTATCGGGTATTTGTTCTTGATGGTCTGCTTGTTGAGAGCTCGGTAGTCGATGCACATGCGCAGGCTTCCGTCCGGTTTCGGTGTGAAGAGTATTGGGCACCGTATGGCGAAGTGGATGGTCGGATGAGTCCTTTGGCTAGGAGATACTCGATCTGTTTTTTCATGTCGGTCAGCTCCACAGGGCTGAGCCGATATGGTGCTCGGAAGGTCGGCTTCGAACCCGGTTCCTCCATGATCTCGTGTTGATGTGTGCGGTATAGCGGTAGCTCGTTCGGAAGATCGTCAGGAAGAATGTCTTGGAACTCCTTCAATAATTCCTTGTTCTTTCCCGGAGGTTCCGAGGTCTTTTCTCCATCGTTCTCCACCTCTGTTGCTATCGCCAGGAACCCGGTGTCAGTTCACTTCACGTCCTTCTCGAATCGTGCGAGTGTCTCTTCTGGGATATCTCCTGTATCGTCCCAGTTGGGTAGCTGTACTCTCCGTCCATTATTGTAGATGCTTGCGGTGCGGTTCACCCAGTTGATCTCGGGGTTGAATCTTTTCAGGAAGTCTCGCCCGAAGATCAAGTCAAGCCCTTTGATGTTGGTGATGGGGAGTGCAGGTCTCCAGCGCAGTGGCCCTATTTGTAGGTGTAGCAATGCTTCGCCGTATACTGGTAACTTGCTGCCGTCCACCATCATTGCAGAGAATCCTGAAGGCTTGTACTCTTCCCGAATTCGGTCGATTACTACCTTATTGTAGACGGTGTGTGACGCTCCACTGTTCACGAGTGCTTGGAGGCGTCGTCCGTTGCAGATGACCTCGTGCACAAGGGGCAGGCGTTGCTCGGAGTACCCAAAGATAGTCTCATTGATTGGGTCATAGGGTACAACCCAATATTGCGTACACACCTTTGTGTTGCTATCTACTCCTGAGCTGGCAGCTGGCCGAGGCTGCTTGGAGAACGGCTGTTCTCCAGGGCCCGGAGTTTCCTTGACGAATGTGTGCGTCATTGATGCCGAAGAACTGGATGCATCCATAGGAGGAGTTCGGGTTTTGTGCAGCTTCTTGTAGACCCCCAACTTCCTCTTGAGCTGCCTCAGCTCCACCGACGTCTTCCCTGGGGAACGGGTAGTCGCTGTGGGCTGGTGTCGGGAGAGGACGTTGACTCTGTGGAAAGGTCGGCTTCTTTCCACACTCCATAATTTTTTCCCCAAGTTGTCCGGTACCGGTATAATCTCCACAGCTGTCTGCTTCTTTTGGAGTCCCTCCCGAATTTTCTCTAAGGCTCTAGCTCCTCGAAAATCATAAGTTTTCATTAAAGCATCTTTATAAGATAACTTTAACGAATCCTTATAATTTCTTGGGTCTTCAAGGAGTTTCCCTGTCTCGGCAGAGTCTTTTTTCGCGAAGTCGTATTTTTCCTCGTCGATTTTCCCTGGCGAAGACTGGTCGTGGGGTGGAGATTTTCCCCCATCATTTCCTCCTCGCGTCGAATCAGCTTCGTCGAAGTTGATTTTCCTGGAATTTTGCGGCCGCTTCCGGATCTTTTCTTTTTCGCCAGCTAGATCCGCAATCACTGGAGAGTCCCATTTTTCGGCTTCTGATTGGCCAAAGGATTTCCGCCACTGTTGCGTGCCCGATACTCTGCGCGTGCGGCTTTCATTTTGTTGCAGTCGAAGATTCGATGACCCGGCACCCCGCAAAAATCACACGTGTAGTTGGTGTTTTTCGGACGTGGCCGCCCTTCGAACCTGTCGACTTCCATCGGGTCGGAGAATGTGGTGTGAGCCAAGCGGTCGCCCTGCCGCGTACTGCCGACGTGCGTCCGTCGTGTCCCGGCGTTGACCATGTCGAAGCGCTCCGCTGCCGAAACGACGTCACTGTAGCTCGCGTAGTTTGTCGCTGCCACTTGTCGTTTGACTTCGATCTTCAGCCTGGCGAGTTACGACTGTACTCTTTCCCCTTCGGTCAGATCGGGAATGCGGTTATAAAATTCCTCCATCTGCTGCGTGTACTGCGCTACACTCCCGAACTGTCAATGGCCATGAATTTTTTCCCGGGCAAGGAAACTCGAATTTATCGGCTCGAATCGTTTCAGCAGGTCGGCGCGGAACTGCTGCCACGTGGCTTCACCGTGGATGAAGGTACTGTTGCTGCCAATCCACTCGAGTGCCGGCCCTCACATCAGTGTCGCCGCGAGTCGTACGCGTTGACCGTCCCAGACTGGCGAGCTCCATCCGACGGCTGCGAAGTAGATCTCCATCCCGGCGATCCATCTGCAGACGTCGGAGTTTCGATCGCTCGGATCGAACGGCTCAGGTGGGCGCTGTTTCGGAGCCTCGAGAAACGGCTGCGACTGCTGCGTCGTCATCGTTGTCGAGTCGTGCTGCGCTCCGGCGAGTCGAGTTACTCACTCGAACTCGTTTCGCCATGCTTCGCGATCCGCTCGCATCTCCTCCTGTAGGGTTGCGATGCGCGCGAAGAGCTGCTGGGTAATCTCGGTGTTGTCGAGGGTTGTCATCCTGTTCAAAACACGCGCGGAGGGGGTAATTCGAAAAAAACGCGGAGCTGGTGCTTACCAAAATCGGCGTCGAATTGGTCGCCCCCGGCGGTTTTTCGAGGCAGGATCCCCGCTGCTGCTGCTTAGCTGAGCGCGGCCGAGTGAGAAAAGCTCTAATTACCAAGTGTCACAGGATCGAATGTGTCGAGGAAAGGTTGCACTATCGATCAGTACAAGGCGCTTTTATACTTCCAAAGTACATCAGGTAACCAGGTTTATCTTATCCTAAGGGAATAGACCCTTTTAGAAGGTAGAATCACCCTGCGTATAGCCACATGAGGCTATTGGCTTTAAGGGATTACGGCAGGATTACGCCAGATAGCGCACCAGTACATCCCAAGCCTGGTCGGTGATATAATTATAATAGCAGGATAAACCAAAGGTTAATGGAAAATGGAGAATAGGAAACCAAATGAGATGAGATAAAAAGAGAAATGAAAGAGGAAGGAAATAAGAAAAGGAACAAATGGTGTAACGGGGTCGTACTCTCACACCTCCCCCCCTCAAAGCTGGGTGGTAGAAGTAACACCCTGCTTGACAAGGTAGTCATGCAGAGGACGACGGGCGTTACCCATGTCGGACTCAGGGACCCAGCTGTCCTTAGAAGGATCATAACCCTTCCAACGGATGAGAAGCTCCACGGCGCCATTCCGACGATGGCGGTGTGCAAGCACGGACTCGAACTCGTACTCGGGTTCATTCTGAACAAGGACGGGAGGCGGCGGCGGTGGTTGGCGTCCGACAAAGATCGTGTTCGGATCCTGATAGGGCATCAAAAGTTGGACATGGAAGGCGTTGTGAATCTTCCAGGTAGCTGGCAGGCGTAAGCGGAAGATAACAGGAGTGACTTGTGCTTCAACGAGGAAAGGCCCGCAGAAGCGAGGTCGTAGTTTAGATGGGAGGTGGCTGATGTCCAGGTTGCGGGTGTCAAGAAGCACCTAGTCTCCCACCGTGATGGTGTGGTCGTTGCGATGGCGATCGGCCTGGCGCTTTTGTTGCTGCTGAATGTCGAGGAGGCACTTGTGGGTCCGATCCCAAAGCTGATGCATGGTTGTGATGAAATCATGTGCAGGTTGGACTGTAGCGGATATGGTCGGTTTCTGTGGTGTGAGTGGGTGGCGTCCGTAGTAGAGGAAGAACGGCGTCTGTCCAGTAGCGGCATGTGTAGCGTTGTTGTAAGCAAACTCTAGAACGGGCAGGTGCAGGTCCCATTTGGAGATCTCGTCCTTGCAGGCTGCTCGGAGGAGTTGCTCAACAATTTGGTTGAGGCGCTTGGTCTGTCCGTCTGTCTGCGTATGGTAGGCGGATGACATGGCAATTTTGGTCCCGAGTAGAGACATAAGTTCCTTCCAGAACTTGTTGGTGAATTTGGGGTCTCGGTCGGAGATGAGTGGTTGGAATGCCATGCTGAGAGATGATGTGACGAACGAAGAGTTGTGCTGTCTCCTCGGTGCGCGCTGTTGTGTGTGTCGGGATGAAGTGTCCCATTTTGGAGAACTTGTCGATGACGAAAAGGATTGCGTCATGACCGCTGGTGGTAGGTGGTAACCCGGTAATGAAGTCCAGGCTAACCACTTGCCATGGCTGTTCTGGGAAAGTCCCGCCTTTTTTTGCTTGCTGCTCTTAATCCGCTGACATGTATCACACGAGGTGACAAACTTCTGAACATCTTCTGCCAAGTGGGGCCAGTAGTAGTGTTTTGCGATACCGGTCAGCGTCTTGTTGCTACCGAAGTGTCCGGCGTATAGGACGTCATGGTATTCTTCAAGTAGTAATTGGCGCAAAGGAGGGTAATAGGGTACCCAGATTTTCGTTGATCCTTTCCGGTACGCAATGTCATTGTCCCACTGTAGCAGATGTCGTTTTTCTGCCAAGGGAATTTCGGGGTCAATGGCGTACCCGTGTGTGAAGAGTCCCTTGAGGAGTGGATTCATCTCTTCGATCTGAATAGCGGCAACGTGCGCAGGCCGGCTGAGGGTGTCTGCATTGTTTTTGTGGCTGGGCTTGTACACGATGTCATAATGGAAGTGTGTCTTGAGGAAGTCGATCCACCGGACCTGTCGCCTGGAAAGGATGGGTTGTGTCTTCAAATATTTCTGGCTGCAGTGGTCAGTGTAGACGGTTGTTCGTTGTCCTTCGAGATAACATCTCCACGCTTTGAAGGCTATGACGATGGCAAGGGCCTCTTTGTCGTGTATCGGGTAGTTTAGTTCTGCCCCGTGTAGTTTCTTACTGAGGTAGGCGATTGGTTGCAGTCCACTTCCTTGGTCTTGCATCAAGACTGCTCCCACTGCCTGGTCACTGGCGTCGGCTTCGATTACGTAGTCGCGTTCGGGATCTTGCAAGACGAGTACCAGTGCGGACGTGAGTGCTTGTTTCAGCTGCTCCACGGCTTCCTGGTGCTGTGGCTCCCATTTGTAGGGCGTGTTCTTCTTCAGCAGATCCGTGAGTGGTGCTGCGAGTTTCGCATACTGTGGCACGAACCTGTTATAGTAATTAGCGAAGCCTAGGAACTGCTGCAACTCCTTCACGTTCTCGGGTGTCTTCCACGTACGTACGGCTTCAACTTTCTTGGGTCCACGTGAACTCCTTGAGCGCTCACTATGTGTCCTAGGAAGTGGACCTTCTCGAGGGCGAACTCACTCTTGGACATTTTGACGTAGAACTGTTCTCGTCGAAGAATTTCGAAGACGCGTCGCAGGTGTTCGGCGTGTTGCTTCATGTCGCGCGAGTAGATGAGGATGTCGTCCAGGTACATCACCACGCACTCGTCCAAAAGTGGTCGTAGAATGTGGTTCATTTCGGCTTGGAATGTTGCCGGTGCGTTGGTGAGTCCGAACGGCATTACCAAATAATCGTACGATCCATACCGAGTTCGGAAAGCAATTTTGTGGATAGAGTTGTCCGCCATCCGTATCTGCCAGTATCCGGACCGCAGATCCAGTTTGGAAAATACCGTAGCTCCCCGAAGCTGGTCAAGCAGGTCATCGATTCGTGGTATCGGGTATTTGTTCTTGATGGTCTGCTTGTTGAGAGCTCGGTAGTCGATGCACATGCGCAGGCTTCCGTCCGGTTTCGGTGTGAAGAGTATTGGGCACCGTATGGCGAAGTGGATGGTCGGATGAGTCCTTTGGCTAGGAGATACTCGATCTGTTTTTTCATGTCGGTCAGCTCCACAGGGCTGAGCCGATATGGTGCTCGGAAGGTCGGCTTCGAACCCGGTTCCTCCATGATCTCGTGTTGATGTGTGCGGTATAGCGGTAGCTCGTTCGGAAGATCGTCAGGAAGAATGTCTTGGAACTCCTTCAATAATTCCTTGTTCTTTCCCGGAGGTTCCGAGTCTTTTCTCCATCGTTCTCCACCTCTGTTGCTATCGCCAGGAACCCGGTGTCAGTTCACTTCACGTCCTTCTCGAATCGTGCGAGTGTCTCTTCTGGGATATCTCCTGTATCGTCCCAGTTGGGTAGCTGTACTCTCCGTCCATTATTGTAGATGCTTGCGGTGCGGTTCACCCAGTTGATCTCGGGGTTGAATCTTTTCAGGAAGTCTCGCCCGAAGATCAAGTCAAGCCCTTTGATGTTGGTGATGGGGAGTGCAGGTCTCCAGCGCAGTGGCCCTATTTGTAGGTGTAGCAATGCTTCGCCGTATACTGGTAACTTGCTGCCGTCCACCATCATTGCAGAGAATCCTGAAGGCTTGTACTCTTCCCGAAGTCGGTCGATTACTACCTTATTGTAGACGGTGTGTGACGCTCGCTGTTCACGAGTGCTTGGAGGCGTCGTCCGTTGCAGATGACCTCGTGCACAAGGGGCAGGCGTTGCTCGGAGTACCCAAAGATAGTCTCATTGATTGGGTCATAGGGTACAACCCAATATTGCGTACACACCTTTGTGTTGCTATCTACTCCTGAGCTGGCAGCTGGCCGAGGCTGCTTGGAGAACGGCTGTTCTCCAGGGCCCGGAGTTTCCTTGACGAATGTGTGCGTCATTGATGCCGAAGAACTGGATGCATCCATAGGAGGAGTTCGGGTTTTGTGCAGCTTCTTGTAGACCCCCAACTTCCTCTTGAGCTGCCTCAGCTCCACCGACGTCTTCCCTGGGGAACGGGTAGTCGCTGTGGGCTGGTGTCGGGAGAGGACGTTGACTCTGTGGAAAGGTCGGCTTCTTTCCACACTCCATAATTTTTTCCCCAAGTTGTCCGGTACCGGTATAATCTCCACAGCTGTCT